CTGTTACTGTCATCTGTCATGCCAAACACCATCCTCTGAGACCAGGCCCCTTGGTCCTCAGTGGGAGCGGGGAGAGGAGCATATCCAATCCACTGCTGTAATCTGAACCTCATGTACTTGTTCTGCAGCTGAGAAAACAGGTGTACTGCCAGCAGTGTGGGTGCTGGTTGCTAATTACTAGTCACTGTAGTTGAAAGGGACGTTCTGGATGTGCCCTTTGTCCTGTCACATACCCCAGTGCTGCAAGTGTTAGCATCCCATTGGTCCTTGCTGGAAAAAGCTTACCTTATAAAACCCCTCCAAAAACATATAACCTAGCTTGTAAAAGAGTTGGTATTAAGCTGTTGCTCTAAGATGCCCAAAAGAAGGAAAGTCTCAGAGCTCCTCAACCCGAGAAGGCCCCCCTGACCACTCTCTGTGGATGGCGTTTAAAATGATGGAAAAATCCCCTTTGAATGAGTGCTTGCTTCCTGACCCAGAATTCACTGGCTTGTCAGGCCTCACCCCAGAGTGTTTGTCCAAAGTGGGTATGCTCCACCACAGATGTCCACTTTCTCTTCACCCTTCAGTTTCTGAAGCTAATACTAAAATGGAAACTTTGGAATTAACATGTGTCCTGAATAACATGATCATTATAGAACATGATGTCCTGAATAACACGACTTTGGTTGTGAGGTGTGCTCTCACTCTCCGTTGTCAGGTGGGTCCTTTGGAACAGGGCACTTCTTATCAAAAGGTTTCAAGAGTTTGAGTTGCCCTGGACTCTCAATATATTTAGTTGAGGTCTTTTTATTCTAGGTGGGGTGGTGTTATACATGGTGTCTGAATGCTGCATTAAGTTCCTTTAGGTCCGCGTTCACTTACATGGAATAACCTTGGCAAGCCAAGACCAGAACGTGTTTGTGGTATCACTCACCTACACATGGGCGTGTCTCTATGCTGCTCTGTACAAAGTCATGAAGAAGATGTCCCTCTTTCTGAGCCAGACCTGAGGAACATGGCCTCTGACCCTTTCTCTTGTGGGAAGCTCTGTGATGAGGCTCGAGGACCTTACCACAACCTATGTCTGCCAGAGTGGGTCAGAGAGTTTCAACCCATATTTCACTCCTTTCTGATCAGTGTGCACAAAGTACACAAAGAATGAGCAATGCTTCATCCTTCATTGTGCATCTGTGGCAGAAAGACATCTGCTAGGATCTGTGGAGGAATTGCCCACTGGTCACAGGAAGTGCCATAAAGAGAGCATGGGCTGTCCCAGGTGTCCCACGGCTTGTTTGATAGGAACTTGTGCATTGTTGAGGATGTGTGAGTAAAGCCCAGCTTGGCTGTCAAAGCTGTAGTCACATGTGCAAAGCAGGCTTTTATGGGGGAAAAAAATGAAGCACAGAATTTTACAGTTAAACTGTGTTCATTGGCTCAGTAATCATGGACAGCCTTGAAGCTGCTTCCTACATGGTGGCTCCTTTCCTCTTTCCCCTAGAAACTAATTTTTTCTCAGACGTGGAACTTCATTTCAAGGCTCTGCAGATGCATCATACTAATAAATGTCACATTATCCCATCTCTTCTGACAGAGACGTGAGCAGGCACCTGATAAAACCTGATGAGGGAGGAAAAGCAAAGCTATGAAAAAGCAGGCTGGCACATAACCCAGGTTCAGTGAGAACAAATCTTGAATGAGAGAAGGGTTCTGTGCCAGGCCCTTAGGTACAGACTTTGGGTCAGGGACAGTTGAGCTGCACGTATTCAAGCAACAAGGGCAAATGTAAATAGTGTTTGCAGCTATTCTTGGGTCACTCAAACAAGGGCTGAAAGATCAGAGGAGGACAGCAATATGGTGTGAACCATTCCTATAGCCTTGCTCGGCTAGAAGTTTTCCAAAACCTGGAGTCAAACCTGCCGCTTGTGATGTCTGCCTTAATATAGCAGTAATATTGCTGTATCCACCTGACATTTTGGATGGCAGCTGTGTAAAATTCTTACCCGTATGAGCTAAGTGCATAGCTGGTGGATGAAAGGGAAGGAGGAAGTTCCTTCTGAGTCAGCCAACACACTCCCAGAGTTTCATCCAGAACTTGCAGGACACTGGCAGGTTTTTATGTCAGTAGATGACATTGGCCTTTGAGAGCAAGCCAATGCCTGGTACACATATTATCAACAGCACTACCACTGGATATGTCCTGCTGTCCTCATCTTTATTATCAGCATGGTTGCCAGCAGAAGACTGAAGACGTGGGATGTTTAAACCACAGGTTAAGTTAGGAAAATCCTCTCTAGTCTTAGATGGACAAGGAAAGGAAGAACAAAGCCTGCATTTCTTGTTCTGCTCCAAATCTCAAGAGCCTCGAGACAGGTTTGAGAGTAGGGTTAAGGCCCTGATTGCTCATAGGAAAAGCACCCAAGTGATGCCATTTTGGTTCATGAGTGACGTTGCTTACCTGAGCTTTTGGTTTCAGGTGATCATGGAGGAGTCTGAAGGGGAATGGGTTTTGCTTTAAAAATTTGTTTTTTTTTTTCGTTGCTGCACAAACTATTAATTAAGCTTGTTATTCACAGGGAGTGAGAAAAGCTTTTATGAAAGAAATGGTGTGTGTTCCTTATATATATATATATATATATATATATATATATATATAATTTGATATAGTATTTGATAGTCTTCCAGTGGTTTTGGTGATCTGGTGTTTTTTTCCAGTGTTTTGGTTTTAGGTGAGGTAATGCTTGAAACATCAAATGATTTTGGTATTCTTTAAAAACTGACATCCAGGCTTGCTTAGCAAGGTTGTGCTAAGCAGCCCAGGAGTTTGAAATCCCTGTATTTCATTTGCTAAAACTAACATAAACAAGGGGGGGTATTTTTCGTAGTATTATTATATAAAGGGTTTTGATGCTTTCATCCTAGCTTAGTACCTTGCAAGGACACCTTTAAGACTAAGGAGACGAAAAATTTCTTATACTTCCTCTTGTGATGAACAGTTCCTACCTGAGCTGAGCAATGTAAGACCAGGCCATATGGAAGGAAAGGAAAGAGGGAAATGCCTGGGAGCATCTCTTAAACAAATTAGGCATGATTTTACAAACTGAGTTTAGGAGATGAAGTGAAATGAAACTTCTGTGTACAATAAAGAGCTCTGCCTTAAGTTATTGTCAACTGTAAATTTGTGTGTCACCCCCAGGCCTTGTGCCTGCTCACAAGCAGTTGGTACCACCATTCCTTGAGTCCAGACCTGCTCTCACCGAGCCTTAAGCATGAGCGGTTGTTTGAAACTGCCATCATGACAATGAGCCGGGGCAGTTTCTTCTTCTCAGTGCTGGAGAAGACTGGAGAGCTGCAACCCTCTGGGTCTGTGCCCCCTGGCATGGGTGTGAGGTTTGGAGGTGACCACCTGGAGATTGGGTGACACTGGACAGCATCAGGGTCCCTGCATGCATCATTGGTTTTAGCCATTGATGCCGAACTGTCCATAAGGGCTCTTCCACAGCTCCAGTGGTACTGCTGAGAATTTTAATGCCCTGGGCCATACATGCACTGTGTTCCCTGAGGCACTTGGAAGTCCTTCTCCTTCCTGAAGTCACACAGGGTCATCATCCAGCCATGCAGCCCTATGTGGGGCTGGGTGGCACCCCAAGCTCAGGCACCTCAGCACATGTTCAATGTCATTTTGTTCTCTGGCCCATGTGCATCCATGTGCATCCTATGCCATGTTCCCACCTCATACATTGCCTTGCTTGGGTTATTTGGGGACAGCAGGAGTGCCAGGTAGCATGTGAGGAGATACAGGGCTGAGCCCAGGACCCACAGGATGTTCTGCACTCTTCTATGCCACCATCTCCTACTCATTCACCCAACCTGGCAGCAACTGAATCCCCTTGTGGCCTCTTCTGCCTGCCCCTTTGTCTCTGGGTTGCCATGCCCTGCTCTAATAACAGTAAGTAGCCAGGCCAGAATGGGTAACTGCTCTTCCAGGTCTCTGGATCCTTTGCGCTGCTGAGGTGTGCAGCCAAGGGCTGCCGAGGTAAAAGCTGTTGCCCAGTGTGAGACTCAGGCTCACATTTCTCATGGCAGTTTACACAGCTGCTTTTGACAGGGATAGTTTGCACTTGTGCATGTGCTTGGGTCTCACCAGAAAGCTTCTGCTCCCTCATCACCTCCTGGGGTAAGGGGAGTCAGCAGGGATAACAGAGTAGGGACAGCTGCTCTCTGGGGAATGGAACAGCCCATCCTTTGGCAGTATAGCCCTGTATTGGGGATCCTTGCCTTATAGTACATAGGCTTGCAGGTCCTTTAAAGAATTGAGAAGCCATGCCAGAAGGTAAATCTCCTGGAGGCACACATCTGCCTGTAACTGCTGTGTCAAGGACAGAGTGGAGACAAACCTATGTGCTAACATCTTGATGTGCCTTGTGCAAGGTATAAAGCTACTGTCCTGTTCCATGGCCTCGGAAACCAGCCCTCAGTCGTCTTCTGCCAAAGTCAAACAGCAGCTTTGGAGGCAACATGTATTTTTTACCTTAAAATGACTTGATGTCTCACAACTTGTTATTTGACTTCAGCTGAAAAAAATGATGGGGTGGTTTCTGCAAGCACAAACCAAAGCATGCAGCTTCAAATGGATCCCGGGACCAACTCTGCCTGTGTAATTACACTGCCTATATTTAATCTCTCAGAAGTGTTTGGCAGATGCTTTAAATTTCAGATATGCAATTTCTTATGCTCTGAGGCTTGGCTACCTGTTCTTCCCCTCTCTTGCTTGCAATACATGAAGTCAAGTCAGTATACTAGGAGGGTACAGGAGTGATCACCGCTCAGTAAGTGCACATCTCTATCTATATATACCCACGAAGCCCTCCCGGAGAGGTGAGTGTGTGAGTGTGTGCATGCTACATGCAAAACATGCTCTGCCTTTATTTATTTAGGAAGGGGGTTGCTCTGGTTTCGTCTTGCCTTTTTTTAAATGATCTGAAAATCTCCCCCTGGGTTCAGGAGAATAAATATGCATGGCTTGTAATTTGTTGCAGCTCTCGCTCCCAGCTGATAGGGTGACGTGGAGTTTGGAGGCTCGCAGATTGGCTTTTTGATTTGGCTTCTTGCTGCAGTTGTGCAAACCTCGCTGGCTCCTAGGAACCCGGCTCAGCGCCTTGCCGTGCTCCGTAATGCTGGGAAGCCTGGACGGAGCCCCGGTGGCGTGAGAGCGGGAGCGGGGGAAGCCCGGCACATTCAGTGGCAATCTGGGGTACAATCCATTTTCTCTTTCCCCCTCCCTCGACCCCCGTTCATCTCCATCCTCCTCCCCCTCCGCCAGACCTCCCTTCCCTCCCCAAACTCCACCGCACGGAGCTGAAGATCAAGGCTGGTGGATTTATCAACATTTTACATCCACCCCTCACCCCCTTTTCCAGATGCACCTCCCCGCTCACCCTGACAGCTGCAAAAGAGAGCACAGGTTTTGTAGCGAGCAAGGCAACTTGGACTGACATGCAAAGGCGAACCCCCCCATGCCCGCACGCACCGTCGGTGAATCACCGGGAGATGCGATGAGCTCCCGTTAGGAACCGGAAGGATTTGTACTGGGGAGAGAGCGGAGCCCCCACCTCCCCCAGCCCGACCCTCCAAAAAAGTCAGGAAAGCAAGCAGAAGGGTAAGTAAGAGGGTGCTGCCCCTGCTCCGTAGGAGACGCTAGGCTGGCGGTTAAGTTTCCTGCTGTCAAGAGGGGCTTCACGCCTTGCATGGCGATGGCCGAGGGGCGAGGGGCTCTTCCCAGGCTCCTCTCGCAGCTGCGGAGGGCGGACACAAGGGGATTGAACGTTGCCCGGGCGCTGGCAGCTCGGTTCAATGCTCCTGTTTTCGCGGAGCCGCGGCGGCTCCGTGCGTTTGTGTGTATGTGCGTGTGCGTGCGTGTGTGTGTGTGTGTGTGTGTGTGTGTGTGTGTGTGTGTGTGTGTGCGGGGGGAGGGCGCTGCGGGATGCATGGGTGGGTGGGTGGGTGGGTGGATGGATGGATGGATGGATGGATGGATGGATGGATGGATGGATGGATGGATGGATGGATGGATGCGTGCCGGGGAGGGGGCGCCGGGCCGGGCTCTGCGGGGCCGGGGCCTGGAGAAGGGAGGGAAGGAGGGAGCGGGTGGTGGGAGCAGCCCTAACCTGCGGGCCCGTGTGCATCGGCCCCGGGATCCCGCCCGCCGCCGGGCGGGGGTGCCCCGGTGCGGCTCGGCTCTGTGCGGCGCGGCCCGCAGGGATGCCGGGGAGCCCGGGAGGGGGAAGGCGGCTGTGGCCGGGGCTGCCGGGAGGGGTGAGCGGGTCTCATGCAGTGCTATAAATTTCCCTTTCCCCCTCCGTTATTTTTTTATTTATTCTAATTGTTTTAATTTTCATCTTTTCCCGGGAGCATGCGGGGGGAGAAGGATGGGGGGGGGGGGGGGGGGGAAGGGAAGGGCCGCGCCGCTGTCCCAGGCAGCTGTCGCGCTCCGTCCGCCGGGCCCAGCTTGTTTATCCCGGGTGTCAAATATAGCTGCTGCGCCAGGCTCTGCTCTAAATAGGGCACGGGGCCGGTTGCGGGGCCCCCTGCAGCCCCCGACTGGCGGAGGGGGAGAAACAATACACACGCATGCACGCATACGAGCTGACCTAAATGTTGGGTTATTCCATGCTCTTCCTCCCTCCCAGCCTTGCTTCAGGTTTTCCTTTTTTTATTTCACCTGTGTCTGAAGTATTGCTCACCCAGTGTGGGAGATGAAACCCTTACAAGTGTATTTGGGGTTTTTGGTTTTCAACTGTGATTTTAAAAATGTGAGGCTATGGCCATTTCCCCCTTCACACACCCCCACACCCCCACACACCCACACCCCAAGTGGATCTGTAGTGTAATGGTTGGGCTCCTGGCTCCTCGTTTTGTTTCTGGGCTTGTTCTGGGGATTTCACCCTAGAAATCTGTTTCAGATTTAAGGTGAGACACTGGAGGAGCAGTGGGGGTGAGAAGGGGTGCCTTAGGCACATTCTTCGCTACTCGTGCTTATATGTATGTTCCTTTAATTCCCCACATCCCTTTATAGAGCAAAAGGGTGATTTTGTTGAGCTGGTTTTTATTTCTGGAGAGGACAGGGCTGGAAGACTTAGGTAACAGTCAGCAGCATCTTTCCATTCAAGAGTACTCATCATCCCGTGCTCCCTGTAGCCTGGCTGGAGGCTCAGGAGAGCAGAGCTGGCTTTGGGGGACTGCTAAGACACGGATGCCTTGAAGATGCTCTGTAGGTTTGGTGCAGCAGGGAAAGGCGTCGCTCCCCCACGGCACAAGCATTTCTAGGGAGTCCCTAATGCTGCTCTGTCCACTGGCGTTGCAGGCGTTTGTTTACCCTGCTCATGGTTTAGCTGAGACAGTCATGCTTGGTGCTTATGTTCAGTCTCCTGTGGTCAACTGGATCAAGACTTACTTCCTGAGCAGAAATAGTGATCTTGGGAAAGAGCACATGCTGCTACTGCTGAGGGCTAGCAAGGAGCCCTCAGTTCAGCCACAAGTGTGCAATGTGATGGTAGTCAGATCTGTTGCCCCCTGTTGTAAATAAAAGGGTGTAATATCATCCAGGGTGGGGAAGGAGAAGACTGGGATAGAGATACTGCACCTGGGTATAAGGTGCAGTACAGCAGTCTCCTCTTTTTTTTTTTTTTCTTTTTTTCCCAAGCCATATATGAGCATTGCTTTAGGAAGTGGGTGGTTCAAGCATTCCCCAAATGCCCAAGGTATGACAGGTTGTGGTAATCCCTCACTGAGGTCCTGTTGTGAGAGCAGTGGAAATGCAGGTAGGCTCCTGCTGGGCACATTGTTTCATCTCCCTGGGTCTCATTTGTATTGTTAATTATATGTTTCTACCTGTGTGGGGATTTGTTGAGGACATGGTTGCAATAACTAGTGGGTGAGAGTGTGAGAGAGGGAAGGCAGATGCATAGCCACCTGAATGCCACTGTGTGTAGCGCTTGTGCCTGGCAGAGAGATTGCCCCCTTCCTCTGCACAGCTGCCACTGACAGGATGGCACCTGGGATAGCAGATGCTGTTGCCAGGTGGGATAGTCTTTTCCATCACTCTAGGCAGTGCGGGAAGCATGATCTGTGGTGTCCTGAACATCAGTACCCAGAACAGGGGAACGGATGGGAGCTGGATGCAGAGCATGGCCTGGGGCATGCATCACTCTGTGCCCCATAGGCTATTGTTGGGACAGTGTGAGGATGAGAGCTGCCCCGTCCCACTGGAGCAGACTTTGTTGTGGGGAGTCATGAACAGTTGTTCTGCATGGTGGTCGAAGGGCACTTGGGCCAGCTTGGTTGACTTGTAGGAAGGAAAGAGGTACGCATGGACAAATCCAGCCTCCCTGCTTCCTTTGCTTTCCCCTGGAGCTAGTGGGACTGAACTTAGATGAGGCTGGTCTGAGCATGGCAGATGCTATGACATTGCTGGTTGGACAGGTCGAGGGATTGCTAAGGGCCTGGGATGACCTGCTGCTGTGTTGTGCCTGATCCACACGTATCACTGCTCCGCAGGGTCCTCCCTGTGACAGGCATCTCTAGCCCCAAGGCAGGGAAGTGCCATAACGGAGTGTGTCAGCACTTTTTGTTACAAACCGAGTTAAGATGTATTCCCTCTGCCAATATTTTCAAGTGAAGCACTATATAGATAAATGGTCTGTCTGTCAGGTTTTTGTTTGCTTGTTTTAAACAAACAGCATCAGTCTCCTCCCCTAAGCTTCCCCAATGACCAAGTGGCGTTGACAAATAGTTCCTTGTTCTTTGTTGCTATTGCGTTTCAGATGCCTTTCATGTGCTTCAGCAGTTAAAAAAAAAAGCTTTGATTGCTGGCCAAAAATTTTATCTTTTTTTTTTTTTAACTCGGGTAGTAATATCTGATTTTATGTTAAAAAAAAAAAAAGAAACAAAAGCCAATGAAGGAAATTAAATTACACAGATAAAAACATCTTCTTAATAGGGAGAAAAATATCTCTGAAACCAGGAAATTGATAGTTGTGACACTCTGTCTACCATCACCCACTGTGTTTAGGTATTGTGGCATAGATTAATACAATTGTTGATTTGCTGTTTAGATAATGGAAACTCCTAAAAGCATCAGCCTGGTTGGGGGCCCAAGTTTCAAATGTCTAATAAATTATAGTCTTTGTCCTGGAGTCTTCCATGCATTGAAAGATACACGAGATCACAAGGTGTTCTCAGGGCAACCTTAAAACACCTCTGTACTTCTGAGAGTGTGATTCTGTATTGGCTGATTTCAGTGATGGTGGGGCTGTGGGGTTTGGGGTGAAGAGCTCACTGTCCTTGCTTCACCAGGATGAAATCCAGGAGCCACCTCACATGATTCCTCCTGTAGGCTCAGTGGGCTGCTGCGCCACTTGGGGACTAACATAATACAGGCAGTAGTTGGTTTCCCTCCTTCCCCTCTGCTCTTTCTGCCTTCGTGCTTTAAACCACGGGCTGTGGCTGAGCGCAGTCACAGGTCTGTGTGTGAAGTTCAGCACCGTGGCCCTCCCGGTCTCCCCTCCAGGCAGTTCTGACACACGGTTTTGCAGGCATAGCAAGACATTAGGTGGCAGGGATGAGTCATGTCATCCTGAAGGTACTACCCCCCTCCTATCTTGTCATGACAGTGTCACAATGAGAAGACCCAGATGCCATTGTTCCTGTGGTACAGCATCATAAAGTAATTACCTCACCCCATAAGGCGCATTTATAAACAGGTGATGATCATGCCCCCATGCTCCTTCAGCTCTCAGTTTTCTGGCAATTCTGTCTTTAAATCTGCTTGCTGGAGCCTTTGATCACACAGCTGAGCTGTCGTTGATGTCTCTGACAGTTGACATCATGGGAGAGAGGGGTGCTTAGGGCTCTTAACATTTCTTTTATGATAACTTGTTTTCTAATGAAATCCTCCAATGAGGATTTTCCATCATAATAAAACAAGGAGCTTTTCCAGAGCACCCTAGATTTAGGGAGAAGTTTCTGTTTCCATTCAGCATTTCCATTCAGTAGCAGATTATTTCAAGGCTGAAAAACTGGACTTGCTGTGTTTGCTGCCTTCTCTACTCTGCTGTCTTTTTACCCAAGCCTCCTAACTCAGGACAGCAGCAGAGACAGCCAGGTCAAGAGCAATCAGAAGCACTAAATATCCTGTGCTGCTGGGCATGTTTTGCAACCAGGGAAGCGTCAAAGAGTTTTAGAAGCTATAGACATATGAAACTGCATTGCCAGTGCTTTCATTGTCACCCTCTCCTAGGCTGGTACTGGGAGGCTATCTCAAAGCAAATGGAAGCACTCTCCAGCATCAACACAGAATACGGTTTCAATCAAAAGAAATGTAGTGATGTAGGTATGTACCTGTGAGAGGGCACTTACATCTGACTGCTGAGGTCATGTTGAAGGTGATATGTCCAGGAGTGAGTGGGGGCTTACAGTGTTGATAGTGCCAAGCGCCCTGCAGATGTGTCTGCATGCTGCATGATGGTGAAAGCTGGCTTCCTTCCCGAGGGACACAGCTTCCCAAACACATACTGGAGTAATGATCTGTGTGAAGAGGCTGTCCTTTTGCCCTCCATACTGTTTGCTCTTAAGAAACTTAGGTTTGGGACATTGAGGCCT